CTAGTTTTTTGTATGTCTTCTTGTCTCAGACCAACACGGTTACCAAGTACACCCCTGACAAGGTAGTTATAGTGATATTTCCAAAAATAAGATCTTTTGTCAGTATGTTTTGCTCAGGCACCTGGCATTAAAGTAAAACCGTTGGAATAACATGTTTTGTCAACACTGGCGGGAAGGGCTTTGTTGATATTATTCTACCACTTTTAGTTATTGCAGCAAACACTTTCTAGTGTGGATGAGGCAGAGAAGCTGAACATATCGCCCTACATTATTAAGACAGCCCTAAGCACCTTCTGCACAGCAGCACACCTGCAGCTAAACGTTTCTCGCGGGGCTGGAATACATTCCCAGGGATTCTGTCTACCTTGCTTTTTCCCCCAGAACATGTGCAAACAACGTCTGAAGGTGTGGAATGCTGCTGGGGCCACTGAGCCTCATTCCTGAGATTCTTTCAGCAATGAAAAGGTGAGAAGTGGTCTTCAAAGCAGACACTCCTGCTCAGATCAGGAAATCAATCTGTTGATAGCCCAAGGTAAGAAAAGAAAAATGAAAAACTCAGTGATGCAAGGGGGGGAGGAAGGGAGGAGACAGGGACTGGAAAGAACAGACAAAGAAACCAGCTTCACCATGCACAAATTTAGCATGGGAGAGTTGAATGAAACCACACCAGAAAGAATGCTGGTCAAACACACATGCTGTATACCGAAATGGGGAAGCATTTTTGTTCTCATGATGAGGTCTATTTTCATCCCAGTTGCTAATGTTCTGGAGAGACGGAGGTATAGGAGAGGCAGATGCGGGGTTAGCAGACATGGAGCAGCCACAATAGCAGTGCTTGATATCTTGAATCCGGGTGAAATGGAAAGTACCTGTGGTTTACTTTTGCACCAAAATGGACAGGTTCATAAACAACAAAAGCTGGAACTGGGGCGTTTTGGCCCCAGGAAGACCCATGCTCTGAAGCAGAAGAAACATTTCACCTGGGGTGATGTTTCTATCACGCACATGTATTTCATTTTCTGGAAATGAAGACTTTTGAAGAGGAAATGGGTATTTGCACATGGAACCAATAGCACGCCAGAATAAAATGGTCACAATCAACACAAACACCCTGCTCCACGATTCCTCCAAGCCAGAGGAAATTATCCCATGTCAGCAAGACTTATTTACATGCCTTTGAGAGTCTTAGACATATCATCCTACCCTTAATCTGCAGGCACACACAAAAATTCCTGTCACCAACTATAACCTGTGATTAAAAGCTCTCCAGACCAAGGCTTGCAGGTTACATACAGATAAATTAATCTCCTTTTTCAGATGACTGTTTTACTGGTGGGTAACAATTAGAGCAGAAGCAAATTTAGCCAGATGCCAATCCAAAGTCCACGAAGCCAACCACAGTCTTTGCACTGAGAGCAATAAACTCTGAAGTGGACCCAGCATAATAACCTAAACCCTGATCTCTCTTCTTGTGACCATCCCTTTCACCCTTACCTTATTTTTACAGGTTATTTTGTCCTTCCATTTGTTTGTTTTGAGCTATATTTCTGCCAGATACAAATCCCCACCCTCCTCTGACACTTTTTAGCGCAGAAATAGTTACTCAACACAAGTGAAGTTCTGGCAGTAGCTTGCTGTATCAAACTCTAAATTAGCTCATGAATATCTTGGCCAACTCTCCCCAGTGCTCCCCCAGAAAAAAGACGAAGAAATGTCAAGCAGATTGGTTGAGACCTGAAAAATGCTGACAGGGGATCAAGTCAAAATTGGATTTTGAATGGAGTGAGTATTATCACTACATTAACGAATGGAAGGCAACAGCCATCTCATTACAACAGTTAGTTTCTTATGCGTGTCTGTATGAAAGACATTCCATGGAACATACTGCATTATTATTATTTCCATAGTTATTTTTTTTTCTAACGGAGTCGTCAAGGCTTAGTATTTTGCGGCTAGGAAAGTTTTTATTACATGGAAACTGCCGCAGAGACGCATCTTCAGTGTTTGGTATAAGACAGGTCCTTTCCTCTTCGGATTTCAGAGCAGATTGGCTTGGGGAAAGAACAAACCTTCCTGCTCCTTCAGATATGGGGGTTGAGTTACTCTGCATCTGAGCAATTAATTTGCCAAACAGAATGGGATCATCTGGCTGTTTCAACAGAAAAGCAAAATGTATATTCTCCCATTAGGAATAGCATGGAGGTGCCTTCCCCTTGGCAGTCCCTCCTGTGTCTGATTTTTGTCTCCAGACTGTGAGACTTCTTGGAGCATCTAAAACCAGCACATAAGCAGAAGGGTCAGGAGTGTAATGTGTTTGATTTTTTGCAAGCCACACCTATCTTTTTCTCAACCGTGCCAGGGGCCTGCCAAGCTATTGTGTTGCTGGGCTCCTTGTACCCTGAAATCAGGAGCTGGAAGATTCGTGTTTCAGCCTGAAACTCCTGTTGTTCCCACCATCCCTGCCTAAGGGCAGGCTGTTTGTCTACATATTTTTCAGAGCTATAGAGCAAGATTATTAACCCCATGAAACCAAGTTTTACCCATGGAAAGAGGTACTGCATGATGTATATAAACACTACATTTAAAAACACATCAAGAAATAGCTAATTTTACTTTTTTCCCCCTTTGTAAGCCTCATGAACCAGAGCAATGTGAATACTGTTCTGAGGATCCCTGTTTGAGATGCCAGTATTTGGAAAATGGGGCTTTCCCTGACCCTTGTCTAGCAGAAGACTCAACCCTCAATGCTGGCTCTAGCATTGCTGGAAGTTATCTGGGGTCCGGATCTGCAAAGCACCAGTGCTTGCTCTTGAATAAATAAGCCTGACAAAATGTTGATACTTATCCAAATACTTCACACCTCATAGTCTGGTAATGTCAGACAGGAGATGCTACAAAGAGAGGATTTTCTGGTCATAGTCCAGCACTGGGCGAGACAGAAGATGAATGTAGTGGGGGAAGCTAGCCAAACCTTTTCAGACCTCAAAGTAATAAATTGTTTATCCCAGTAAATGCCCTGTCTGAGCCCAATAACAGAGTACACTGAACACCACACACTGGCTAACCTTCTCCTTCCAGCTGCATTCTTCGAGAGTGGTCATTTATTTGTCTTTTGCTACTGTAAGTCACACCCAATGCTACAC